TACTCTTTGGGGGCCAGCCACCCAGCTCCCAAAGAAATATAAGATGAAAGGGTCATACGACAAGTTTCAGTAGGTTTTTTTCTACTTTGTATGTTAGTTTACCACATTGCATAGCTATGCAGTTACATTGGGGATGAAATTACAAGCCCCAAATAAGACTCACTGGTCAATCTGATTTACCAAATTATATTCATTTAAAATTACACTTTACTGAAACAAATGTAAATAGAAATTTTCCTATGGAAAAATTTCAAAGCATTTTAAAATTTTAAGTTTTAAAAGCATTTTTACTCAAGGATTCCTATGTTGGGATAGGAAGAAAGTCAAGTTTGAGATTTCTAAGATTTGAAGCTCTTCATATATATATATATATATATATATATATATATATATATATATATACATATGTACGTATGTATATATATGTATATACATACATATTTGATGATGAATAAAAGAAACACATTCTGTCATAAAATTTCTATTGCTAAATTGTTGTTACTTGTACAGTGATAACCTTTGGGACATTTTAAGTTAATTGTTTAAAAGCATCTCAGGTACACAGCGGGTTGTATTCAGTCATGGAGAAGAATGAAAACTTTTCATTGGCTGGAAAATGAATGTGACTGGAGATCATCAGATGAAGCCAAATAAATCAGATGCCGAATGAAAAAATTGCATATTTTTGCTTATAATTATGTGGATCTTATAATTTAATATAGATACATAAAACCACTTATACAAGACACATATATACACATAAATGCACATGTATAGAGAAGTGGAGGATTAAGTAGAACTGAGGCAGCAAATGAGGAGTGATGAATAAAGTACATGATACATTTGACTGAAATTGCCTGTATGAGACCTAGCAGAATGTACATTAAACATAAAACAAAAAATTATTGAAAACAAGTTTTGAAGGGAATATGAAATTGTGGTGATCACTGGTTTCAGTTGCCAGCTTCCACTCTATGGGAACTGCACAGTGGTACTCCATTCTCTTTACATATGGGCTGTACACAACCTGGCACATAGCAGTTGCATAAGCTTTGCTGAGTAATTTCAATGAATAGATGTGTAAATGGTTAATGTTTTATTTCTCATTTTTAAGCACTTTAGAAACTAGTGATGGTATTGCGACACACTTCTACCCAGAATTTTATACTTTAGTACTACTTATTAACTGGTTTGACTAAGGAGAATCATGTGCAGGAGAGATCTATGAGACTAAGCCAAAGATACTGCCCCAGGATATCTTGGGGGAAGGTCAGAGAGCTGAGGATGAAGGAAGGAGGTGTGAGGAGTTGAATTCATCTTGTCTTACAATGATTCATTGGTGGAAGCTTGGTCTCTAGGGTGGCAGAGTTGCATGGTGGAGCCTAATGGAAGGTGATCAGCTCATCAGACACTATCTTTAGAACAGGTTAACATATTTCTTTCAGGATCGTGCTAGCTACTGTGTGTGTCATAAAGGAATATGCCTAATCCTTCTCACATTCTCAGATCTGTGCTTGCACACATGACACTTCTGTATGTGAAGATTCTCTTTCTGTTTCTCCACTGTGTCCCAATGAAACCAGATTGTGACATGGTGCTTTTTGTATCTTCCAGTAGCAGGAATCAGAGTCTAAATGACACTTGTCTTCATTTCCCGGTGTCAGGTTGGGTGATCTGTTATAGAGACACAAGACAGAGCAAGATTTCCTGCCTGTGGGGATTGCTGAGATTGGAAGGTAAGCATCCAAGAGAAGAACGGAGATGATATCTAGAAGTTAGTTGTGAGGCCAATAGTCAACTGGGTCAGAGAGACTCATCAACTGAGAGGTGAGCAGAGTCCTGAGACTAGATAGCCCAGGGACCTAGGTTAAAACCAAATAATACTGGTCTGAAAAAGAAAAGAAATGTAGTAATAAAATGGCTTCTAATGATATTCAGCTACACACATAGATCAGGGCATTCTTCAGCCATCATCAGAGAAGCTTCCTCCTGTAGCAGATGGGAACAAATACAGAGACACACAGCCAAAGTGAGTCTTTCATTCTTGGGACTTCTCTTGGTTTGTCTTGTCCAACTTTGATGTCATAGTTTTTGCCTTATCTTATATTTTGTTTTGTTATATTAAAAAAATGATTGAATGAATGGAAACCTAGTCATTAGTGTAAAGCCTAACATCTGAACTGTCATTTATAACTGAAAGGAGGGGGAAAATCCAATGGAGAGACACTGGGTACATCAATCACTACAGATCAGACCTTACCTTCAGGAGCAGTTGACCAACATATAATGGACTCCACTGATTTTTGTGGGCTTTATTGTTTTTTTTAGTTGATTCTTTGACAATTTCACATAATGCTCCCTGATCCCACTCATCTCTCAGTCCTCTGTATCTGCTCCTCACTCTTGCAGTGTTCTCCCACAAAGGAAAGCTTAAAAAGAATAACATAAGATAAAAATAAACCCTTTTTATAAAGGAAAAACACTTTGCTCCTCTTTCTTCCTCACTTCTCCATCACCTCTTCATCTATCTTAGTGGCATTGGGAGCTGCTGTGTATCATGCAGTATACCCTTTTGTCCAAACAGCATTACTTACAAATGTTCTTTGTGTAATGAGTTGTTGGTCAGGTTCAAGGCCTCTGACTTTGGTACACCATCAAAACTGGACCCCCAATGACATTTCTCTCTGATAACCTGATGTTACCTGAGTCAATAGAGATCCTGCTGTTCTGGTTCCAAATACTCGTGCAGATCAGAGATGGAGTAGATAATGGGGTGTGCCAACTCCAAGCCCTGGATGTGTGCCTGGGTGGCAGATGAGTTGGTCAGTCCAGGCTGCTGGGACCACTCCTCTCAGATCAAAGGCAGAGCCAGCTCTCCCAGGCCCATGGTGAGAGGTAAGGTGAGCTTTTCCAAGTGTGTGTGTGGCAATTCTCCTATTATGGGCAGGGCCAGCTTTCTTGTGTTGTGATCACAGCAAGTGCATTGCTTTCCGTCTGTATGACATCATGGCCACAGGTGACAGCGTAGGCCACAGAAGTTGGCACAGTACCAGCACATGTCTCTCAGACTCCAACATGACCACAGGTGGTAGGTAGTGCAGAGGCCAAGTGTTCTTGTGGCCTTGGGTGGTGACGTGGGCCATGGACATCACCACAGAGCCAGGTTTCAGTATAACCACAGACCCAGTCACGGTCCTCTGCTGCATCTCTGGCTGGATGCCATCATGACCCAGGTGGCTGCACATGCCACTCAGATCAGCATTGTCCCATCTGCAATGTGATCCTTGAACAACAGCATGACCCCATGGGGCCACCCAGATCTCAAGCATCTGCCGGGGCTTTGATTGTACCAGGAGCCATGGATATCAACATAGATCATGACTGCAGCAAGACCATGGCCCCAGGCATGGTCCTAGGCTGTTGCTCAGGCCCAGGTTTTACCATAGTCCCAGGTTGCTGTGCACAGTACGCAAATCTGCAAGGTCATGCAGTGGCTGCATGACCTTCAGACACCAACATGGCTTCAGGTTTTGGTCCAGAGCCTGAGTTTCTGCACTGTCTTTGATGGTAACAGACATCAATACAGCAGCCCAGCTAAGCCATCTCCATGGCCCTGGGTGGCAGTACGATCCACCCCATTTGCATGGCCCTGGTGGCAGCATGACCCTTGGGCACCAACATGGCATTAGGTGTTGGTCCATACCCCGGGGATCCACACAGCCTTCTGTAGTAGGAGGAGCCACTGATATTGACACAGACTCTGGCTGCATTAAGGCGATGGATCCAGACCTGGCCCCTGGCCACAACAGCTCAAGCTCTGACTACTCCATGGACCTGGGTAAATAGCCCAGACTATTCAAATCAGGATATTCAGATCATGATCATCTTTGCAGTGGCATGACCCTTGGGTACCTACTTGGCCACCTAGATCTCTCTCCCATACCCCACCATATATTTGCCCACCTTAATGGTGCCCTCAGCAGGTGTTTGAGAGTTCATCTCTGACGGTTTAATTTTAATGGCATGGAATAGGCCTATGGCTTCTTCTCACCTGCTCAGAGCAAATTGCTTTGAGCAGGCATGTGCCTGCTTTTATTCTTTTATTTGGTTACACTTTGGTGGGTATTTTTGGCAGTGGGGTGGTGTTTTATTTTGTTTTCTTGGTTTAGGGGAGATTTTTTGCTGTATTGGGTTCTTTGTTTTGTTTTGGTTTTAGAAAGTACTTAAAGTTGTGTGTGTATGCAGGGGAGAGGATTTGAAAATTCTTTGGGGAGGGGAACAATGTGACCAAAATATATTTAAATTTAAAAATTCCTTTAAGTAACAAAAATTAAATTGAAAAAATGGACATTGAAAAAAATAAATCCAGAATCAGTTTATTACTCTTTTCATGTCAAAGTAACGCAATTATATTTCCCTCACTGCTCAAGTATATAACCTGAAGTTGGAAGTGTGCAGCACCACTTTATAAAAACACTTGGATGGGTAAATGAGCACATGGTTTCAACATTAGATACAGAGGGAGTGAAAGGGACTTGAGCCATTACCTGTGCATGTGGAGATACATTGTACTTTCTAGTGATGATAAGGACATAAGCAAAGGTGAATGGAGTCAGTAGGAAATGGCAATGACCCGAATCATGGCTTATTCATTCAGGTGATCTATAAGGAGAGACTGTCTTGTGGTGGTATTGTGTTCCTCAAAATATTGTGCACCCTAATAAACTTATCTGGGGTCAGAGAACAGAACAGCCACTATATAGAGAGGCCAAAAAATAGTGGTACCACAAGCCTTTAATCCTAGCATCCCAGAGGCAGAGATATATCTGGATCTCCGTGAGCTCAAAGCCACACTGGAAACAGCCAGGCATGATGACTCACACTTTTAATTCCAGGAAGTGATGGCAGGAGGCAGAAAGGTATATAAGGCATGAGGACCAGGAACTAGAGCTGGTTAAGCTTTCAGGCTTTCGAGAAACAGTTCAGCTGAGAGCCGTTTGGGTGAGGACTCAGAAGCTTCCAGTCTGAGGAAACAGGATCAGCTGAGGAATTGGTGAGGTGAGGTGGCTGTGGCTTGTTCTGTTTCTCTGATCTTTCAGCATTCACCCCAATACCTGGCTCCGGGTTTGTTTTTGTTAATAAGACTCTTTAAGATTCCTGCTACACTGTCTGGCTCTGCCACTTACAAGCCAAGAGAGATAACCTATTACCTTGTTAGATTTGGGGGAGAGCGGAATATTTCAGAGCAATAGTTATGTATAATTTTTTTAATAGAATAGGCATCATGAAGGATAACAGAATATAAACCCTGCCTCTGTTTTCTTATTAGAAGCCAGATATTTGGGAAGGTAAGGAGTATGTGTTCAGTGACAGAGAGACCAAATACCTACAGAAAGATGTTCGGGTGGGAATGAGGACCAGTCCTGCTCCACAGTGACACTGAAGAGCCACTTCACTTTCATTTTTAAATTTAAGTTGACATTCTCAGTGCTTATGATGACCACATCCCCTACCATATGTCACATGAACATGCCACCTCAGGGGCAGACATCAGATTCAGTCATGGCTTCATCCCACATAAAACAATCCAGTTTTCTTATTTCCAGTGGGTCTTAGGCAAATGTGTACAGACTTCTACAAGATGACTTTGCTGCTGTTCACATGGCATTGAGGAAACGTTGTGACTGGCTGTACTCCTTGGATACTATGGTATTAACAAGCATAAACCACAGAGTTCAAGTTCATAATGATTTCCCAGAAGAACTGTGGCTACAGCATCCTAACCTCTAAGAACTAGACCACAGCATGCCCCATTGGGCCCCCAAATCACCATTCCTCTTGAGAGCCTCATATCAGCTGGTGAAGCAGGCAGGATTCTGACACACTACAGACCCCCCACTGAATTGTCTTTTTTCAGAGTTTGGGACAAAAGTTAGGGAGTATTTCTATCAAGACAATGCAAAAAAAAAAAAAGCAATGTTGCAAATGTGTGCATGCACACACACCCATACACACACACACACACACACACAAGGGCACACCTACACACCACTAGTGTAGACTTTAGATTAAGAATTTTTTTTAAAAAAAAGTGTCTCTTCAATCCCTGTATCCACTTCAAGACTCACCCTTTTTTGTCATGTATTTCTATTTTAAAAGATTTAATTTCAAATCACTGAAGTCACTTTCTTTACAGTAAGAACATTTTTAGGAGTAAGAATGCTTATCTGAACCCATACTTCCCAGCTTTGAACAGTGATTCAAGGCAATGGCACTCAGCGATTCTGACATTATTCTCTGAATGCCGTGACCTATATGTCAAACAGAGTGGATGCTCGTGGACATTTCTTGTCTTTGAAAAGTAATTCTCCAGGGACAAAGAGGCTCTTTTACTGGGCAGTAATGACAGCCATGAGGTGGGAGCCATAAACCAGACAAGCCTGGGCAGTCGCATGCTGACATTTTTCATTCCTAGTATCCCACAAGTATTTCAGCTTCAACAGAGCCTCTGTGCAAATGAAAAGGAATTTTTTGTTTCTAAATTTTGTTATATTATGCTTGAAAATTCCTACCAGTCCTTCAATTACCCACTTGAAGATAACCTGGCAAGCTATTTTTTCACCACCTTTGTGTCCCCCTCTTCACATGCAGAGGCGAACATGAATACATGTTCTGCTCCCACTAGGCAAATTAAGTTAATGCCCCTTCCTTCTCCTGACCTGGTAGTCTCTGAACTTAGACATCTCAGCAGCGATAGTTCAGTCCAGCCTTCCCACACCCAGCCCTTGCAGGCCAGCACAGCCTAAATACAAAAACGGAAAACAGGGGTGGGTAGGAAAGGGGGGACATTTGTAAACACAAAAATTCTGTTAGGGAATACAAGAGCAAGGAGTTGGCACAAAGAGAAATTGGGATATGGGGGTGTGGAAGGCCAAAGGTGAGCATGGGTGGAGTTAAAAGTCCCATCAGTGATTAGGAAAGCAAATACAGAGCGTGTATTTTCTTGGGACAATGTTAGTAGGGGAGGTGACAACATTGTGCCATGCCCGTGACAATGGCACTGCTTCTAGTTCTTGGTTTGTGTGTTCACCTGTTTTCCGTGGGCTTTGTTTGTACGTTTTCATTTAGTGATAATTTTTTCAGCCATTTTCCTTTGCTTCGCTCTTGTTCCTGCTTCCCCTTCCACTACCAAGCAAGCTGTCTATCTATATTCTTTAATGCAAAGTTTCATTCAGAGCCCTGCTTGAGTCCATGTCTCCCTACTTCTCCTCTCTCTGTCTTCTTCTGACCTTCCCTAACTCCTTTATGCATTCATAAATACACAAATAGCAATTACCATGGACCCAGTATCCAGTGAGCCAGCTTCTCAACTTGTCGCCAGTGTTATTTTTCTGGGGTTTTTATTTGTTTGTTTTTGAGGTTGCATTTTAATTAAACATTTCTCCCTCCCATTCCTCCCTTCAGATCGTCCCATGTACCCATTTCTTCTCTGCTTCAAACTCATGGCCTCTTCTTTCATCAATTGTATTTTTAAGGATCTGAAGTTTTCCTCATTATGTTCAGCAATTTTAAGGCCTTGTTTAAGAAATCTTCACGCAGTTCCAGGTTTCATCTTGTCCGCATTATCTACCTTTCCCACATAGATCTGTAATCTTTCTGGATTTCTTTATTTGTAAGTTCACTGAGTGTGAGGCAGAAACCAACCCATCCATTGATTACTGGAAAGGTCATTTGCTCAGTGTCTTCAATGTCACCTGTCATAGGTCAGGTGACTGTTCCGATGGAGCCCTATCCTGATCCTCTATTGTATCTCATGTTCAGTTTGTCTGTTTTTACTACAACGTGACTTTGTGCTTCCTTACTGTGGCACTGTAGTGATTTTATCAATTGGATGTTGTGCATCTTTGTTCTTTACATCAAAATGTTATTACACAATTCTCTATTTCCTTGAAAGTTTAAAAAAGTTAATAAAAATAAAGTTCTTTGTCTTTTAGGTTAAGTTGTAACAAACCAAGACAAGGTTTTGACATCCAAATGCATGTGACTCATCACATAATTTTCAAACATTTCAAATTTATTTTAGATGTATTTTACATTTTTAAATAATGAATTTGTGCATATAATTGTTTTCTCATAGCCTAGTTACTTTAAGTTTTTCCAGATATAACAAAATTTGTCATCTTAAAGTATGTATTCCCTTAATGCTTACTGTTTCTATGTAGAAATAAAACTCATCATAATCATTAATTCTTAGCTTACTTGTTGAGTTTAAAATGTCTGTATTGTATATATTCATAGTGGTTTATAAGACAATATCCCAATATTATGTCTCATAGCTATCATTTTGACATGTAAGGTGAGAACATTTAAAATCCTACATTTTGAAGTACAAAATACAACATTTATTACTTTTAGCCTCAATAATGTTTTACATTAGAAATCAGATTAATTCTTCTTATCTACCTAAAACTGTATATACTTTAACAATAATGTCCAAAATCCGTCCAGCTAGTCCTACATCCAGTCCTTCCAAATGACCATTCTGCACCATTTCTATGAGTCAGATACTTTCAGATTCCACACTCAGTGAGATCATTTATTTTGCATATCTGTTTTATTTCACTTGGCATAATATGTTTTGAATTGTCACAAATTAATAAGATTTTATATTTTTGTGACCAAATAGTATGGTTCTGTAAACAATATATAACTATATAGATAGACAGGTGTATGATAAATAGAATAGACAAACAGACAGATAGATAGATAGATAGATAGATAGATAGATAGATAGATAGATAGATAGATAGAGATAGATAGATAGATGGTTGAAAATAAATTAATAGATAAGTCTCACATTTTCTCTATCTAGTCATTCACTGATGGACATGTCAGTTAATTTTTTTGTCTTGGATAGTCTGAATAATGTTGCATTGTATCTGGAAATGTAATTGTCTCTTTTATACGTAGATTGAATTTCTTTTGTATATTTGTCCAGTGCTAGAATTGCTGGATTATGTGGTAGTTATAATTTAAAAAGTGTTAATACTCTTCATACTGGTCATAATAATTTAATATTTCCACAAAACCTGTGAATGTATTCCCTCTTCTTTCCATTCATATAAACATTTGTTATCTCTCATCCTTTTGATAATAGCGCTCCTATCAGCTGTGGTTAGTGCTGAACATCAAAGTTGGTTTGATAGAAGCTATCAAATGCCAAATATATTTTTAAATACCGGCTAACATTTCACCCGTGTGATGATGTTAACTGTCGTATTGACAAACTCTAAAACCACCTGGGAGACAGAACTCAGGGCATACCTGTCAGGGACTGTTGATTAACTTAAGTGATGTTGGAAGAGCCATGTTAATTGTAGGTGGTGCTGTAGCCTGGGCAGAGAAGCCTGGGCTTTATGAAATGAACAAGCGAGTTTAGCAACAGTTTTCATTCTTTGTTCTTTTTCATCTGACTGTGGACACATGTGACCAGCTGTTTCCTGCCCCTGCCTGAAGGATTTCTCTGTGATGATGAACTAGAGCTGAGAGCCAAAAAGCACTACACATTCTCATCTCCTTTAAGTTGCTCTGCCAGGGCATTTCCTCACACCAGGAAAAGAAGCTAAGACCATCTGCTACCAAAGTTCTGCAAGAAATGATATTCAGGGAGGTGGTCTTTTATATCCTTCATTTGTGCTGTTTGTCTACTTTAACATAGTTACTTTATTTAAAAATAGAAAGAAACTACCAGGAATCTTCTTCATGAATGTTTTAAGAGCTAACTAAGAAAACTCTTTATGAATAATCAGTCCTCAGAAAATACACACTCCATTGTTGCTGTTTCTGGGTGATTTATAAGTGATGTTTGAATGATTTAAGAAAGCAATATGGCTAAGCTAGTGTTTCTTCTATTCAGAGATGTATTTTAGTCACAGATTCCCACAACCTATTTAATACTGAATCACAGAAAGATGATTGTTTGATTTTAGCCTTAGCCTTCTGAGTCACCATTATATTTTCTAGGAAACAGTAAGAATTCTACTTTCTGAATAAGTATTAGCCCCTTAAGAGTCTCAAAAATTATATTTTAACTTTTGTGTTATAACTAATTATACATGATTTCCAATTCTTTTTCTATAATTTAGCCATGGCGTCTCATAAAAAGAATCTCATCAAATTTTGCTAAGGTGCTTTATGAAGTTGTTTCTAGACAATTTGATTTTTTTCTTTCTGAAACAAAAATATTTCAAAGCCTTATCCTTGTCAATGTGTTCCTTGTTATGCTAATTTATGTATGTAATAATTCAAGAAGTATTAAATGTCCTATATGTTTTAAGCCTTGAGTTAGATGCTGGAAATAAATAGGTAGATATGCCTTTTTTGCCCAGCCTTCTAATTCAGAGGTAATATAAACAAAATATAAAACATGAACATAAAATAACATTGTTAATATAGTTGGGTACAGAGAGATTTGTAAACTTTAATTGGCAAATTTGATTTATTAAGTTAGACCTACAAAATTTTGTACAACAGGTAATAACTGAGTTCAGGCATTCCAAATGAAATTATCAGTAGATGAGGAGGAGTTGGAGGTCAGATACTGTGGGAAATCCAGCATATTAAATGGCAGAATAGAAAGTCATGGGTCATGAGAGCTCTAAAGTTTCAGAGAACAGAAGAAAAGAGACGTAACAGTGACTCAGAGGCTGAGGCTAAAACCAACTGAAAATATCTTTCTGTTATTCAATATCAGATGGGGAGACAAGAACAGAGTGAAATATGTTGGCCCTGCTGAGATTTGCACACATCATTGCCCGAGCAATGGGAAATAAGTTATTTTACGTGACATCATATTTTCATGTTGAAAAGGTCCCTACAGCTAGAGGCAGACAAGTCAGAAAACATATGAGTGCATGTCAGTGGAGCATTGGAGAAAAAAAATGGATGCTAATTTGCAACAAGATGCCTGCATCAAAGAGAGAAATGGGAAACTCAAGATACACTGAGGAGAAATGGGAAACTAGAGATACACTGAGGAAGTCTAAGTTTCCTCTTGATAAGAGAAACTGATATAAGGATTGGACAAGATGTGTCAAGTATTGTATATACTAGGCTTTGTCTTTTAGACACCAACCAGGCTTTGTCTTTTAGACACCACCAATGACCTGGAGATTCATTATAAATTTTGAATTCTCAACCTAGCTTAGCTCATTTCTGGCTAGCTCTTTTTTAACGTAAATTAACCTGCTTCTCAAATGGAGACACATGAACTGTGAACCAATGGCTGAGGAGCCCCCAAGAGGATCAGGCCCTCTGGATAAGTGAGACAGTTGATTGACTTGTTCTGTTTGGGAGGCATCCAGGCAGTGGGACCAGGACCTGTCCTCAGTGCATGAGCTGGCTGTTTGAAACCTGGGGCTTTTACAAGGACACTTGGCTCAGCCTGGGAGGAGGGGACTGGACCTGCCTGGACTGAATCTACCAGGTTGAACGCAATCCTCAGGGGAGTCTTTGCCCTGGAGGAGATGGGAATGGGGGTTGGGCTGGGGGAAGGCGGGGGTGAGGGTGGCGGGCGGCGGGAGGGGGGAGAACAAGGGAATCCATGGCTGATATGTAAAATTAAATTCAATTATAAAATAAAAAATGTAAATTAAATGTAATATTAAAAATATTTAAAAATTTTAAAAATGTAAATAAATGTAAAATTAAAATGAAAAAAAAATTAACCTGTTTCTCTTTATCTATCTTTTGCCTTGGGGCTTTTTTCTTTTTCTCTTCTTCCTTCCTTGTTTCTTTCTTTCACTCTTTTCTTTCTTTCTTTCCTTCTTTCTTTCTTTCACCTTCCTTCCTTGTTTCTTTCTTTCACTCTTTTCTTTCTTTCTTTCTTTCTTTCTTTCTTTCTTTCTTTCTTTCTTTCTTTCTTTCTTTCTTTCTTACTTTCACTAACCTAGGACATCTGGTCTCTCCTCTCTCTCCTTCTTTTCTCTTTCTTCTTGAGCCTCGATTTCTCCTCCTATTTATTTTATCTCCCTGACAGCGCCCCCTATCCTTTCTCTGGCAGCTATTGGGAGTTCAGCTTTTTATTAGACTAATCAGGTGCCTTAGGCAGGCAAGGTCAAACAGCAACACATCTTTACATAATTAAACAAGTTCAGTGTAAACAAAAGTATAACACCTTTATACAGTTAAAATAATATTCTGCATCATGAACAAATGTAACACATCTTTGCCTAATTAAAATAATATTCCATAACAATGCTATCTTGGAGAAATGCAAATATAAGAAGTCTAATTTAGATGGATTTAAGCCTTCCCAGTCAAATAAAACAAGTGGAGCTACTGTGTTCATATAGCTTAGCAGCAAACCATGTTTAATAAGAAAGTACCCAGACTGGGGACAAAGAAGACTTGAATTTCACTTTTTTAATGACCTTATCCCCAGTTTGTTTAATTTTAAATTAAACACTGTGTAGATAGATGATTTCATGAGATTTTTATAACTATCTGATGAAGCCTGGTGCTGATTATCTCTGGATCAACGGTTTGAAGATATGTGTTCTGAGAATTTCTAATTCACAATAATCTAGAGAACTAATTCAAAATGAATGCTCCTGGACTTCCCTCTAGAACTGCTAAATCAACTCAGTGGTGGTGGGGCCAGGAATCTGCTTCATGAACTGTCCAGATGGTTCTTTTCTGGAGTCAAGTGTGAGATCCACCAAGGGCAGCCCGAGAGATTGCAATGATTTTGTGAGTTAGTAGTCTGTATTGGCCACAATCATTTGCTTCCTGGATACTTACCCCTCACTCTGATGCCAGGGTGGCTTGCCTGTTATGCTGTAACATTATTAGTTCATCCTTCAGTATTTTGAAAATGTTCACAAAAGTACAAAGGAACTCCTTGATGCTAATGTGAGTGAGATTTCTTAAGCCTTGTCTCATATTGGAAGCAGATGTGTGTAAAAACCACTGCCTAGGGGACATTTTTAACACTGCAAGAGCCTTTTACTTACCTGTTTTGGATTGTATTAATGAATTGTATTAATGTATTGAGCTTCTCATCTTTGTTTTACATTGTACGTATTTCACTTTAAATGCAGATGAATGTGTGGAAACGTCATTTGCTCCACATCTTTCATGAACAGTGCATAATACATAAGACTGGGGAAAAGCCAGGGTTTATTCCATACTTATTACAGATTGCTGAATATAGCCGGAGCCTCCACCTCTGGCCGAGGTAAAAATTAACTACCTCCTAATTCCCTGACACAAATCATGCTGTATATTTTACTTTCCACTATCCAATAGTGGAAGATGCAGGAGAAATGGAAATCATCAATCTAAAAACACCACTAAAATTAAAATAAAGAATGAGAGATTTAATGATTACCAGGAAAAAAAATCAGCAAATTGATCGACACAGAGAACACTGGCCATAATAGACACATTAACAGAAACTCTACAAACTAGAAAGGGGATTCCAAGAATATTGATAAGAATGGAAGCAATTAAAAGGCAAAAAGTACTTTTAAAATAATACATTATTTTAAAATTGCATCTAAATTGTTGATGGAATAGAGATTTAAAAGGACAAAACCACTTAAACATTTTTTTTTGAAAACTAATAACTATTTTAAAAATAGAAGGAAAGGCTGGGTGTGGAGATTCATTCCTTTTCTTAATGAGGCAAGTTGTCTGTTTAAATGTAGCAGCCTCAGATAGTTGGCTACATTTGCACAGGGTATGAATTTCCTCATGTTGAATGGAGTTTATGTCCAATTAAATGGTTGTTGGTTACTCCCAAGATATAAATGCCTCTATTGCACTCTTGGGGATGTCTTGTCTGCTGGTCATTGTGGTTGGTAGACTTTGCAGCTTTTGGTTGCTTTTCTCCCTTGGAAGCTTATAAAACTTGTATTGTTAAACTTTTATATTCTACATATATTTCTAATTATAGGAATTTGCCTTAGAGTCCCCACGCCTATAATCTGACTCTTTTCAATGAAATGCCATCCTCCAAGAGAAAAGGAATGTGTTCTGTGCTGCTCAGCAGAGAAACTTGGATGCTAAAACACAGCTCGCCATGTGGTAAGCTCTCAATAAATATTGATTGAAGAAGTGAAGCTCATTTAACTGATTTATGATGGATAAGACAGGGCTGTGTCGCTAACATGAATCATTCTTTTCTCATGAATATGTGCTTCCTTTTACTTCCCCCAGTTTTGAAATGTCATTTCCCACGGGTATGGCCTTTCATTCTGAAATGGGCATTAGAATGAAATATGAAATGGACTATTGTTCCTAGAAGTAAGGGTATCGACATTACAAGATGTGCTATGGACGTCAGTGGGGAAATTTTTTTTATCATAATATATTTCATTGCAAAACATTCCTCGTGAAAGAAGAATTCAAATATTCTTTATAAATTCAAACGAGTAAAACTTTAGAGCCACTAATTTCTTGCTTTATTATTCAAAAATATTTAAAAGTAAAAATATTGATTTTACCTCCCCCAAAGCATCAACAATGTAAAACAGTTCAAAAAATTACAGTGAGACCTTGGATTCCAATGGCAGTTTTAATAAGAATATGTAAATTATGTAAAAATGTTACCTTCAAACTCATTTGTGGTAAAGGATGATATAAAGCATGTAACATGACCAAAATTAGTTTTCAGCAAGAATTTTTTAAAGAGGGAGCATTAAAAATCTAATGATTTTATATCCAACAGTGATTCAAACAACAAGAAAATGGGCAGTTCTCATGCTCCTTGCATATTTCCAATGTGTATTAGACCAAGGCTCATCTAAAAAAAGTTGGTTATTCACTCTGACTAGTTTTGTCTAAGAGTAATAATAACTTTGCTTAGATAAGTAAGTCCCATAGAATCTGAATCATAAATTAATCTATGCTATTCACACAAATACATGAGACATTGGTGTGTGTGTGTGTGAAACTGTCTATACACTCAAACACTCCCCCCCCACAAAGACATAGAAAGATAGTCAAGCATACACACACAATAGAAAAAGAAAACGTCATTTTTCAGAGCAGTAGGGTTCCCCCTGAGAGACTTTTAGCTCAATTTCTCACATTAACTAAGTCAAGTTGAAAAGGCATGAAAACAAAAACACTTTAATGTTTCAAAACTAGGCACAACACAGCAAGATGTAAAAACAAACAGACTGTCCTTTCCATCAGTATAGCTAATAATAATGTTCATAAAAGTTATTAATCATGTGTCTATTTCTGAAAAGCAGTTCTATATGTAAACAAAATATTTAAATCCTGAAGAACTGTAATTTCTCAAATTTGTGATATACATAGACCTATGTATAAGCCGAAAATTTGATCTTTTTGAAAGCCAATGTGGCTAGGCTGAAGTTTGAGGAGCTGTAATGTTTCATTAAATGTTGAAGAAATGATAACATATGGTCCATCTTCATGTCTTTCAGGTTTATATCTATGACTTTTGGGCACACATAAATTCAAGCATATAACCGGCAGATTTTACTTCCTTCAGTCCATGGGAAACCTAATGAGATGGCTTGCTCTCAGTTTCCTGTGCTGTCCTGTGGAGCTGTTTAGACATTCACCAAACATTTAGTGAGAACCTCACCTAACAACGTAGCAAGTGCCAACAAAATGAAGCTGAGTTTTCTCAGTTTAAGAAGCTCACATCGTATTCAGATAAGAGAACGCATAAACAGCAACTACTGAATCCCATAAATGACTTATTAAAGTAGGCATGATTGAATGTGACTGACACACCGTCTAAATTAGTGCATATAATTCTGACACTGGAATATCCCTTTTTGCTCTATGGGATTATGTGAACTCTGATTTCTTTAACACTTTCCATTAAGTCGTATATCATCACTTCTACTATTTCAAAAGAAATTGCTACTTGCCACATCACTCACACTGCCGAAAGTGGAGTAGTGAGAGTAGATTGCGGAGCCCTGACTTGAAGGCGTCACCTCCCATCCTGGTTCTGCTGATATCAGCCACCTGAGACTCCCGTGTGGTGTGGTTGAACCAGAAGTTTCCAGGGAGTTGAGAAGAGAAACATTTCCCCACTGTGCAGCTGCACGCTGTTTTTCTTTGTTAAAATTCTTCACTTTAATTAGTTATTATTAGTCATTTCACTTTAATCAGTTAAATAGTTTGCAAAGTTTCATTTGTAGTCAGCTGTTGCAATTCTGAGTTCATTTTTCAATAAGTGTAAAATAGTTTAATTTTTAAGTGGATAATCTTGATATCACACACACACATACACACACATATGCACATGCACACACATACACACTTATACACACACACATATGCAGTCACTACCTACTTGCTTGATCATTGTACCAATTACTGTGGAGAGTAGAAGCTTCTCTTTCCTCCCCCTTTATTGTCCTTTATTAACTAAAGAAAAGACCTCAGCAGCTCCTCCCCTGTGCTCTTAGAAGCAGAGCAGGTCATTTGCTTCATCTGACATAACACAAAAATCATAATTTTTAAGTCTAGAGGAGCAAAGCCTATTATATTTACACATATTTTCATGTTTTTCTTCTCCCTTCGGAGAAATTAGGATTCATCTGTCGCCTCTTCAGGAAAAGCAGAGAGGCCTTCTGTTGGAGATGAGGAAGGAGTGCCTCTTCCCCAGGAAGTTTCTCTGATACCACACCCGAGGAGGAGTGAGGTACCTTGTTGCTACATCACCCGGGCAGATGGCTAGGTTTCCCATGTGACTTTTGCTGCGATGGGTGAAGTTTTCAGAAGATTCTTCTGTGGTGTTTGGATGATGGATTTCTGAAAGGTTTTGTGTATTTAGACTGCCCATTTTCTGTTTGTTTTTCATTTGTTTGTTTTATTTACTTATTTGTTTCTATTTATATTTATTTATTTTGCTAGCGATGGCAGGCTTCATATAAGATTCAGAGTGTTTTTGGCTTTTTTATTAGCTTGTTTTTGCCCTTTGAAAATAGTGCGTTGGCTTTTGCGGCATACATTGGGAATATCAACAGGAAAAGGCACATCTCTAACTTCAGGAATTGAAGTCAAACAAAATACTATTGAATATATCAATAGTCAAGTTCTACAGTTACCTCAAAGACCATTAATGGGTTCATTCCACATTTGAACACATAAAATAATTGATAATATTTATTCTCTCCCAGATTGTGTTTTTAAATCATTTGTCTCTTGGAATTATCTTGTGTGTCTAAGTAGTTTTTAAAATATGCTAAATTTAGAGCAAAATTCTAAATTTATACTCAGTCACATCATTTGATAGTTCAATGATCTTGAAGAATTTAATTCACCATTTTATGAATTAGATTCTTTTTTTTTGGGGGGGGGGGTTCAAGACAGGGTTTCTCTGCGTAGCTTTGCGCCTTTCCTGGAGCTCACTTGGTAGCCCAGGCTGGCCTCGAACTCACAGAGATCCACCTGGCTCTGCCTCCCGAGTGCTGGGATTAAAGGCGTGCGCCACCACCGCCCGGCTGAATTAGATTCTTTTGTGAAATCACAACATCAGTATGCTTCTCTTCAATGATTTGTTACAAGTTTAAAGATAATGTGCATGATAGCATAAAGGCTGTGGTATAGAATATGTATTTAATAAGTATTCAATGCATTTTTTATTAAACAGGTATGTAAGTTTGCTTTTAATATAAGCACTGGAAAGAAAGACATGAAGGTTTATAGGGTGGGCATGGACTAGGAAGAAGAAATAAAGAATTTACATAATTTTATGGCTAAGTCAGAAAAAAATGGCAATAATCCTATTTGGTCAGCTGTGGCAATCATATTTATTTCAGATGCTGTAAGTCACAGTCTCCAGGGCTTTAGCTGAGAAAGTCTTGCATTTCACCTCCTCTGTTCTTCTATATGAAGGAAAAGAGGACATGACTGCTCCTAGGTATCAGGTAGAGGAGCTGATTTACTGTAGATATTAGGGAGAATACAGGAAGGGGCAGAGACATATGGGAGAGTCCAGAATCACAATGGCCCGACCTTGGCCATGTGAGGAGAAAGGAGGAGGGAGAACAGGAGAGGAGTCTCTAACCAATAGAGTCAACCTGCGCCAAGAGACTGCACAATAGATAAAAAGGCCAAAAGCGTAAAGAAGAATGAAAAAAAGAAAGAAAAAAGAAGGAAGACATGATTACTCCTAAACTATGGAGAAGGTTTATTATAGATATGTGGACGAACATTAAGACGATGAGGTGTCTGGAAGAGTCCAGACTAGACCTTGCCAGCGAGCTGAGCTGGTACACCATGAGAGAAGCGGGAAGAGCTGTAGGGAGAGTGGGCAAGCCAGGAGGCCAAGAGACCAAGAAAGAAGAGAAGAACCAAGAAAGCAGGAGGCCCAGAGAGTGGCTAAGAGACTGGGGCAGCCAAAACAACTCAGTTATGTAGGGGTCACAGGAGTTAGGAGAAAGGGCAGTCCAGCCCCTGGGCTGGAGAGTTCAGGGTAGGAGGCAGGTAGGCCAGCTAGGATGATCTTGTAACAGGTAGGGACTGAGGGATGCTGGGAGAATCTGGTGGTCAGAGTCAGCTTTGATATGTTAGTAGGCATCTCAGTCTTTCATCTCTGGTTTGAGACCTAACACTAACTATCTGGAAGACTCTCCAAGGAAGTTACCTTAGGTTTGTATCTCCATTTCAATATCTGCTACTATGAGATACCAATCAAAGCAAAGGGAATAATGGCAATTGGTCATGATAATGATTTCTAGCCAGAAGCAGCATATCTCATATATATTGAATTTAATTGACTGAGTTACATGACCTGATCTCAAAATATATGATTGCAATTCCTTTCTGATGCTGAAAAGAGAAAGAATCCTTTTTGTTGGTGAATGTTATTAATACATAATTGGATAACTACTCCACTGGACCATTGTGAAGGCTAAAACTGAGCACATATGGAGGGCAGGTACAGAAACTTACTCTTACACTCTTGGTTCACATGAGCAGGAATGATTTGGGTATGCCATATGTGTATACTCAAGGGAAGTAGAAATACTTCTTTTCTCCAGGAATTGACTTCATATTAGTCACATAATTTCTATATAGTCAATTTTCCCTGGCTAATAAATAGTGAGAGGTTTTTGATGCATGTTCCTGGGAAATGTTATAATCTTTAAACAACAGCTATAACTGTTTTCTCCCTTCATCCTTCCTGACCTGTCTATAACATAAGATGAAAACAGAAAGTGCAGCATTCCCTTTGTGAGCAAGCTCTACACCAACCTGCCAAAAAAGGGAGTAAAAAGCTGTTAACGATCTGGGACTTTGATGCTGTTGAATCATCCCATTTCTATACTGACAAGAGGGCAGTTTTTGAATGTCTTTTAGCTGTGTCTGATCTCTTAATTTGCAATAAACCTATGAAATAATTGTGACCCAAGTCATTAAGTGTCCATGACTGGAATCACATGGCTTTTGAAAGTACATGGAAACATTGCTTTTTCAGTCTTGTCTCAAATAATTAAAAGGAAAAATGAGGCATAACCCTGCTGTCTCATCTTCAGAGTGGTGATAATTCCTTGTCCCCAAAGCTGAACAATTTCATTACAATAAATGGTGCGTAGTAAAAGAAATCCCAGTTTACGGGATGTGTAAATACAGAAAAGAAATTCTGTCACTCCGGGCAGTTGTTGACTTATTAGCAAGTGGTCACATCACTGTATGAAGAAAGGGATGGGTGGTTTCATGCAGATCCCCAAGGCCTGACTCTTCTGGCAACACTAACTGCTGTTTCTCCTCCCTTGAACATTAGCTCTAACCTCCAGAAGGTTGATACTCCCAGCGGGTGCGTACTGACGTACAGCAGAGTGGTGTGTCAAGTCAGTAATGTACTTTTAATCATTTTGGAATTTACTCTTAAAGCTAAAGCCTCAATTATGGGAATTAAAGGTAACTGAAGCATGGCTTATCATCTTTCCCCACACTTCTCTAGTGTAAGCAATGCAATTCTCATGCCACCTCTGTAAAAACCCACTTAATGAAGTATTGATCAATTTAGATGTTGATTGATCATTTATGCGATAGACTGTTGTGTCATTTAAACAAGACCAAATCAATGAGGTGGTCACAAACAGCCCATGGAGGCAAATGAAGTTTGAAAAAAAAAAGTCTTATGAAAAGAGATGGTGATAGTTTGAGGATGGGGCAAATAAGGAGAGAAGTCTCAACTGTAGAGAGGGTCTGGCTGGGAAAATCCAGATGGGTTTGTGCGGGAAATTACTTTGAGATGAATTAGAAAAAAGGAGTCTGAAATTTTTGCTGACAATGTTACTAGCACAGAGAATTTCAGTATTACAGTACTATTAAAAGCAAAGGATTGGTGTTTGAACCAACATGGGTTTGCAAATTGCCTTTACTCTTTAAGAAATGAGTTAACTGCTTTGAAATATTTCTTTAGTTTAAACTGAGTACAGTAATTCTCATCTTAAACATTTAGCTAGAAAAATTAAATTTAATGACTTGTAAAAAGGTACTAGTGTCTGGTCTGACATAATTTTCATTTAAAGCATATTAATTATTGCTTGGCTTAAGTTTTCATGCAAAAGTAACATTTCAGATCTTCCTGAGATTTTTTTTTTATTTAAAAAGAAAGCGCACATAAAAGCCAAAGCAAAACAAAATGAAGGAATAAAGTGAAAAAGTAAATTTTGTGTCAAGGTGTAATGAAGACCAGCTGAGACATCCAGCCTCATGGACTGAATAACTACTGGACTCTTAGACTTTCATTAGTTGACAGGTATTATTGGACTAATTGGACCATAGCCCGTAAGCCACTCTAAAAAAAATCCCCTGTATGTATATATTCATTCTATCAGCTCTATTCCTCTAGAGAACCCAGATACACCAAATATTCATAAACATGTGACCTTCCTTGGGCTGTGCTTGACATCCAGTGTCCCTCCATTTTAGAAAACTGATTAACCTCTCCTATTAGATATAAATTGCAAATAGCTTCTTGGTTAGGGGTGGGACTTTGTACCTATGTCTTCTCGGTGCTAGGATTTTGTCTGTGTAGAACTTTGACAAGTCCTGTCTATGCTCTCATAGTCTCTGTAGGTGTACATGTGTATCAGCCCTTATGTGCCTGGGAATCACTGTTTCCTTATGTTCATCCCCCATCTCTGGCTTTTAAAATCTTTATGCCCCACTCCTCAAAATAGATTCTTGAGCCTTAAAAAGAAAGATGTGATACAGACCCCTAAATTTATGGCTGAGTTTTGCCAAGTCTCTCACTCTCTGTGTTTTGTCCAGTTGTGGGTCTCTGTGTTAATTGCTATCTACTGAAAGAAGAAACTTCTTTGATGAGGGTGCAGTTATGTACTAATCTACGGCTATAAAAATATTTGGAGTTCTTTTATTGCCGTTCATTTAGCAGAATCAAGTCTCTAGTTCTTGGTCTCATTAACAAGGTCATTTATGGGGTCTATCCAAGCAAATGGTGGTTGGTTCCTACCATCACGCTTGTACCACTACTGCACTGGTAGGTATATCCTGCAAACGAGTCACTATTGTAGTCCATAGTTTATAACTGGGTGAGAATGATAATTACTTTTCTCCTCTAGTGGTGTGTATAGTACTTTCCAGCACTCTTCATGCTAGTCAATAGGGTTTAAACTTCTAGTTGAGCATCACCTAAGTTCTGCCCCAGGCTTAATGACATAAGTCATTATATATTCATCAAACTGATGGTATGATCAATAGGTTGCGGAGGACAACTGATAGCACTGGCAATAGCCTGCAATATTTGGGAGTCCTGTGGAACCCCTTTGGCTAATAACTGGAAAAGATGTAACCTAATCTTTCACTTGTTAGCATATTATATCTAGTTGGGGCATTGTCCCACTAGTATGTCCATTTGAATTCCTTTCAACTATGCATATACTTTAGTGAGTTTCCACAGCACTAGTTTTTCAAATGGCATTTCAAAAGGTCTTTAGTGCTAGTTATCCACCTCCACATCTCTCAATCTCCCCAGCTCTTCCTCTTTAATTTTCTTGCCATAATATTCCCTTTGTCCCCCTTTAACACTCCATGCTATTTTCCCATTCTTGGAAGATTCTACTTGGAAGATGCCCCTTGAAACAACATTCTTTAACAGCCTGATGACCTTAGAATTGTCTAGAGGACCAACACAAGATAACATGACCCTGCTGATGATGCCTTAGTGTCACTGCTGTAGTTCCAAGCAAAGACCAAGTCATCCTTGCTGAGTCTAACTTTTGATTCACAAACTCTGAAATAACAGTTCTGCACTGACTTACACATCTAAATGCATGATTATTCATAATAGCAGTAACAGTCAACTAATAAACAGCAGAAATTAAATTTTAAGAAACCTATCTTGATTTATAAGTATCCTGGAAAAAAAATTCCTTACCCCAAGTTTCTTCCCTCCACAGCAAGCAAGAGAGCACGCGGGGAGCATCAAGCAGTCTGAGAACTGCACTTACCTCCAGGAAAATGAAAGACAAGGTAATGAGTTTACCAAAATCACAATGCTATGGCAGTTCCCTCTGCAACTGAGCATGGTGGTCTGTGAGTACAGCTGCAATTCTCTGGGATCAAATTTCAGTGTCGATTCTTAAGGAATAGGAAGCAGGCAGTGAAGGAAGTAGAAAACCAAATTAGTCAGATTAATCAGGATAACAACTTGCATTGAGTTTTCTGCCTGTTCTGCATAGCTGTGGGTGATAAGGACACAATACTTGAATACAGCTAAATCTGAACATTCATGAGAATTATGTGACAGGTGTTTCCCTGCCTGGGGACACCAGAACACTGAAGAAGGCTGGGGTAAAGGAGAAGAGCTAAGAATAATAATCGCATGGCTCATTTCCACTGTCTAGATGGCCAGATTACAAAACCCCAGCTGACTCTCTCTTCTTAGCACTCACCCACACTTCCAGCATTTTGCACTCTGGTCAGATCAGTGAGAATAAAAGTTCATTTTGTTGCTGGTGTCAAATGAGTGATACCATGTACACTGTTTGTGCAATGCTATTTCTTTTTTTTCTCCTCTTTCTCTTTTTTCTTCTCTCTCTCCACCCTTGCTCCTGACTTTTTTTCCTTCCTGCTCTCACAGTTATTGGGCATGTCATCGATGTTCAGTACAGCATTTTTAATGTAGATAATGCTATTATCATCACATTTTACAAATATAGGTTGAGATTAGATGGCATCTATAGCTAGCCCAAGACCTTAAAATTAAGGAAGAGAAGGGAAAAGAAGATTGAACCATTGAACTTTGATATCAGAGTATATTTTTTGTCCTGTAGTGAGTTCCCTCTTTTGGAGTTTTCCTTAATCCTCTATGAGGTGGCATCCCAAGACTGTTCAGGTTTTTTGTAAGAACTTAGATAGTAAGTTGAGAAAAGTAACATAACTTTGAATTTCATGAGGCAGAAAGCTTCTGTGGGCAAATGCAGGTGCTGAATGGCAGTTTGTTAAAGCGTGCTCTTCTGTGCCAGTGTGGGACCTGAATACCTACCCTTTCAAGCTTCCATAGCCTCAGGGTCCCACTCCAAGTCTCCTTTCTACCCTCTATTCTGAACTTGGGCTCTGCTCTTTAAGCCCTTTACCTGGCTTCCGGGATGACTTTTCACAGGGCCTGCCTTGAGATATTGCCAATAGCAGGACTCTCAGAACCTTATCACAAAGGCTGTACCAATCCTATACCTCACCTAGTCTAACCCAACACACTGCTTCCAGAATGTATCCCCAGCTCTGACTTTCCAGGCTCCCAGTATGGTCAGAATACAATGTGAGCAGTCCTGGAACCTGCTGAACATTCTCATCCCTTCTTCCTGCATCTTGGGCAATTTTAATTGAATCTAACATGTTTTCAGAGGCAAGCAATCTGTTTTAGAAGTTATCTCATCTAACTATTTATACATCAATATATTCCTGGAATTATGCTCACATTGAGTGTCCCCTGAATCAATTGCCCAGATTCACCGACTTCTTACCCAGAGGCAGCATGTGATCTTCTCCACCCCCCACTCCCACCTCCCGCCCTACCAGCACCACCCACCCACCCACACCCACCCCCGCCACCCCAGGTGGAGTTTCACTGTGCTAGGTCCAGTTTCAGCACTTCCTTTATAACATATTCTGAGACTTTAAAACACCATTTGTTAAAAAGTAGTAAGTACACATAGTAAAAACTTAGAAGGTGGCAAAAAGGCCTTGTAGTGAATAGCCTGTTTCCCCTCCATTTGGTTAAAGATGCCTTTGTTAACTCCCCCTGCTCTAGCTACCTAAACATGTCCTAGGTAGACAAAAGAGACACACAGAATCATGTCTGTGTCTGTACACCTGTTTGTATGTGCCTTTTTGCTTGCTTTCACAACGCAAACACTGTCTATAATACACTGTGGATGTAGTGTGTTTTCCCTGTGTGCTCTGTGATTTTGTTTGTTTGTTTTTGTCAACTCAGTACAAGCTAGGCTCATCAGGAAGAAGAAACCTCAGCAGACATACATTCAACAGACTGGCCTGTAGGCATGTCTTTGGTGGGAATGTTCTTGATTGAGGCTGGGGTCAGTGCCTCTTCTGGGCTGATAGTCCTGGGTTGTATAATAAAGTAAGCTGAGTGTCTTAGTTAGAGTCTCTATTGCCGTGAAGAGACACCATGACAAAGGCAACTCTCATAAAAGAAAACACTTAATTGGGGCTAGCTTATAGGTTAAAGGTTTAATCCATTATCATCATGGTGGGAGACATGGCAGCATGCAGGCAGACATGATGCTTGAGTTCTACATCTTGACCCGCAGGCATCAGGGAGAGACGGTCCCACAGTGGGCATAGCTTGAGCATGTGAGACTCCCAAGCTCACCCCCACAGTGACACACTTCCTCCAACAAGGCCAAAACTCATAATAGTGTCATTCCTTATGGTCCAAGCACTCAAATACATGAGTCTGCAGTGACAATTCCTATTCAGCCCACCACACTGAGCAATCCATGGGGAACAAGTGAGTAAGCAGCATTTCTCCATGGAATGAGACAGCATTTCCTGCCCCTAGGTTCCTACTTGAGTTCTTGCCCTGACTTCCCTCAATGGTCCACTGTGGTTAGGATGTGTATGAGGAAACAAAGGCTTTCTCCCCCAAATTGGTTTTGGCTATGACACCTATCACAGTAACAGAAAGAGAAGTAGGGTATCCTCTACACTGGATGTCTTTATCAGTCTGTGGATCAAATTTTGTCTTTTTTCTACCAGCTGTATCTGTCCAAGTGTATGCTACCTTTTAATTCACCGTATGGTAATGGACAACGTAAATGTTAGCTTTCTTTCTACTGCTAGGGTGATCACATATTATTTGTATTTGTATGTGTATGAATACACACAATGTCTCTAAAGTCTTCAGTTTCTCTTTTCTCTGTTCCCTTAATATTATAATCTAATGTATGTAATCATTTTAATTTCTTAATTTCCTTGGGTCTTTCTTTCTTCACCATATTATAATCTTCTTAAGGATAAGGAATTGATTTTTCTTGTCCTTTGCTATACTCTTTAAAGGCAAAATAGTATTTGAAATGTGGGACATATTCAATTAGAATTGAATACCCTGACTGATGATGAATGATATATTGGGGCTGGAGAGATGTTTCAGTGTTTAAGAGCTCTTTTGCCTTTGCAGAGGACCTGAGTTGGATTCCTGGGATCCACATCATGGCTCACAGCCATCTGGAATTCCAGTTTCAGATAATCTGAGGCCAACTTCTGGTGTCTAATGGTACCATGTATGACACACATAGTTCACAGACACACATGCAAGTAAAATAACCATACACATAAAATAAAATAATAAAACAACTAAGAAAAAGTTATTTTCATGTTACATATTACAATATACTGTGGCACACATGCTCAAAGTACAGACATGTTCTTCCATAAACAATCTGAGGAACAAATTAAGGAACTGTCTTAGGAATGAAGACAAACAAATTTTTAATTGTCCCATTAAATGACAGAGAAAAAGAACACACAGATGTTTCAGCCTTTTCCTGCTTTTTTTTCTTCCAACACAGGGTTTCTGTGTGTAGCTTTGGTGCCTGTCCTGGATCTTGCTCTGTAGACCAGGCTGGCCTTGAACTCACCGAGGTCTGCCTGGCTCTGCCTCCTGAGTGCTAGGATTAAAGGCGTGCACCACTACCACCTGGCCTCCTGCTCTTATTATGTTTGTAGGTATGAATTAGGAGAAGAGAGATCTATCTTAATACATAGTTCTCCAAAAATTCCTGAGAGAACTTCTCTCTCCAATCTGTCATGTGACGATGGTATGATCTTTGTCAATCCCCTTGAAGACTAGTTTCTCTCTGTCAATCCTTTTGCAGATTAGTTCTGTGAAGAATATTGCAGATATGGGATCCTTTGCTCCATCGTATAGCTGAGTGCTTGACCTCAAGGATCTTCTTGTCATATGGACACTCCAGACTTCCTTTAAACCTTTTGTTACCAATAATCCAATAAATACATATTTACTGAACTCCAAGTGTGCCTATGATGCTCATACTACAAATATAGTCATTTTAACACTGAGACTAAAAGGGGATGCCCACTTAAACCTAGAATCATGTTCTAGTCTTAGAGCAAGCATAGGCCCTTCATTAATATAATAAAGGTGTGCATTCGGGTATGTGTGTCGTGTGTGTGTGTGTGTGTGTGTGTGTATGTGTATGTGTGTGTGTGTGTGTGTGTGTGTGTGTGTGTGTGTGTGTGTGTACATCTATCTGACTGTCCATATGTCTGTCTGTACCCTTGGGACATATATCTCCTTGAATGCACACCATAGCCTGTACCCTACCCATTCAAGTTTGATTTCAGTACTATAAATCTTGGACTCTCTAAAATTGTCCTCTAACTCCCCAAGCTCACATGGTATGCACATGTCCAAACACACACACAAACATATTCACTCACTCAAACAAATATATGTAATAGAAAATCAAAAGGTGAATTAAACATATTCATACAAAGATAGTGAGTTGCATGATGTATATCTTAAAACAGAAATGGTGTACAATATTCAATTTACATCTACTACATAGTCTTTGTAAGAAACTCCCCTGTATTCTTTGCCCATCATTTTAATGGAACAATTAGAAATCAGCTACTTTTAAATGGAAGGCAATTCATTCCCAAGACAATGTTTCTAAAACTATCTGTGGAAAATATCAATCTATCTTTGACCAACATATTTGTAAGATAATATTGTCAGTTATTAGAAACATAAAAGGTTTTTGAAAGCATACAAAAGGCCAAAACCAAGACGATAAAGCAAAAGGAAAAAGGCATATAGATATGCCCATAATTTTAACAATCATGGTAAACAGAGATTAAAATTACTTCTAAACTACTATATACATTTTTTCTAACCTTGTTCATAAATGCTTATTCTTCTCCAAGAGATGCCTAATAAGATTCCAGAGATCTATCTTGGTCCACAAGCTTTCGCATAGAGAATCACTCTCCCAATCCACATTTTTTTCTAGGACTAGAAAACACGTCCATGGAGGTATTTGCTTTCATACTATTCATAAACATTTGATTCTGTTTAGGGGGTCCTACTTAAGTTGTTTCTTTATTGATCCTAGAAAACCAAAGTCAAATGTGATGGAAAAGCTTTTGATGAGACTGATTTATTACAATCAACTGGAGTTATAGATTCCTCCTTCCACTTGGACTCCTTGCTGCCCAGCAGTGATCCAAAGGCAACTGATGACTTCATTGTCTCTGCCATGCGTGTGTTCCCCAAACCCAGTACTACTGGTCACCTTACACAGACCCCCAAAACATGTCTAAAGTCAGGGTTATTTTTATTTGACTTCCTTTATTTTTCCCAAAGCTGCCTGAATCTTCCATTATATTCCTCATCATTCTTTTTCTACAGTATTTTATTTCAATTTCTCCTCACATTTTATAAGAAAAGAGGCAAACAAATTCAGAATTGAGGCATATGAAAACCTATGAAAATATTCTTGATCTGGAGCTAACAACAGGTAGTTTTAAATTAATTTCATACATGAAAATATTTTTTCTCACATTTTAGAAGACAGATATATAATGAGATGTAACAAAGTCACAATTCTGAAGCGTTGTTCTAGAGCTTTGGTCATCAGTGTTAACCATAACTAACCTTATCTGTATTGACACAGCCTGGTAACCACATATTCTAATAAATGGTATTAAATGTTGTGTTTAAAGCTCTCTACAACCACACAGTCCTCAATGTGCACTCTCTTGAAAAGATTCAGTAGGAAGTGATACTCAACACAAAAGCAGCTTTTTATTCTGTGTGAATTTTAGCACACTGCTAATTTGGGACTTCTGACTTGCCATTTGTTAAATAAAGACAATAAAACATTTCAAGGAGTGCAGGACAAACAACAGGCATTGCAGGGATGTAAAAGCAGCCACCTCCCCATCATGAAAAAGTCAGAAGTGACGAATGACTTCATGAGAATTGAAGCTGAGTTCGTCATTGAGCGTATGCTGTCTGACAGGCTTTGTTCTGTGTGCTCTCTGCGCAATGGCTCCTGGGACTTCAGGACCACGAAATGTGCAGGTACCACATTCATTCCCACATTTGCATTTGAGCAAAGTGAAGCAGAGTAAGTCTGAAGATAGTCTCTTGTGTGGTGACTGTGACTAGCAAGTTAGGGTACTATGACTTGAGCTTAGAGTATCTGGAGTTTACATTTGTCACACTCTGTACATAGGCTTAGTCCTAGAGTTTCACTGCCTAGTGAACATAGGCTCCCACATGTCATTTGCAATTTGTTGGCAAGTTTTACTACAACTTTTATTTTGTGGCTATTCTAAATGTCTATTCTTTGCTCTGAACTGATTCTTATGGCTTTCATCCATGTCATTCAGTCCTAGATAGAGTAAATATTTTGTTAATCAGCCATTAGAATTTGCTGAGTTTCAGATGTCTCTATATTATAGCAAGTCACATTCAATGATGGTTTTGTCACTGGAAGAACGACATTGAACATGTGAAATGGGAAGGGTGTAGCAGGCGTTGTGAAGGCAAGTGTTGCATGAACTTCCATAGTAAGCTTCCTAGTATTATTCCTCCAGATCATTCCGTTCTGATCCACTCACCACACCACAGGCTGATCCATTCAAACACAAGTTTGGCCATTTAATTGCCTTTCTTAAAAGTCCTCCATGGAGTTAATTCTAGGACTCCAGTCTCTCTTCAGCTGTGCTTATGCTCATTGACTGTGTGGTTTATTGCCCAGTGACTTAAACTCCTCCATAATCGCTAATCTCCTCTGTCACAGTGCACTTGCTTTCTGTTTCTCTCTCCACTTGAATAACCTATTGGTCATCCTGGCTTTGTCTTACCTTTCAGTAGTCACCCTCTCTAGGAGACCAGGAAAAGACAAAACTGAGGATAGAAAAGAGTCAAATCACACATGATTTTTATCAAGTATGCGTCTGCTTCATTACTGAACAGCAGTACTAGGAGCAGTGCAGAAAAGACAAACTACAGCCAGCAGGCATTGGCAGAAATGAGCTGTGAGCCTTAGCAAGCTTTGACATTGTCCCCAAGTCAAACGTCCCTATCCAATTTTCCTTCCACATCCTGTACCAAGATGACATTTACAGCTGCAGTCTCTGGAAGGAAATCAATATTCTAACCATCAGGGACATGTTGAGTTCTTTATTCATCCAGCTCAGGCATCTCACCATTCCTGGTTTGAGAATCTCCATTGTCCTTACAATGCCTACTGTCCAGGCATTTGAGGGTTAGGGAAAATGGTCATTCACATTCAACAGGCATGGTTGTAAATGAGAAAATACTTAGTTTGGGGTACTAGACATGTAATATAGAATGAAATAATGGTATTATATTTTGTTATATTCTAGTCAAGAGTCTCCATATTTTATGGTTATTTAGTAAGCAGATTTTATTCAAGTCATCTGAATAATCATATTCTCTTTCTTGACTGTATAATGACTGGAAACATTATCTAGGAATGATTATATATGAATGACAGCATGAGCAAATGAGAGAAATTTTAAGTTAAAAGACAGGTTTCAAATAGTTCTTGAAACTTAATTAGATGACTCTTTGATCATGGGTCATTTGTTCCTTTTGTTTCACACCCCCATTAAGAATAGAATCAGTTATAAATTTTAATTTAGATTTTAAAAGGTATTTAATTATTCTTTATTTCATAATACTATTGTCTAATGTTTTACAATAATAAATCAATAAATCCCCTATAGAGTTCTCAAGTTAGAATTGAGAGGTCTATATCACTGTTGTGAGAAAGAGCAGAAGTCTCACTTCGATATTCTATATCATGAAGAGATTTGTCTGAGCAACTGGTTCTCTCAGTCCTTGTGTTTTGTGCAATTAAACTCGTGATCATGAGTTTAGTTCCTACCACGTGAAACTCTGGTAGAACAGGAAAGAAGTGGGGGTCTGCTTTTGATTTTAACTACTTGGACCTCTTAGCGCTCAAAGTTAACATCCTTCCAGTTTTCCTGCAGGATAAGTCGTGTGTAGTCCCTTTAACTCTACACTCTCTGGGTCAGAGCTTTCATAGAAGTGGGGTCAGCATAGGTAAATTTGTCCATGCAAGTGTATGTTTTCTCAAGAACTTTCAAAAATAGAGCAGAAATGCCAATAATGGCTTTTAAATGGGATAAACTATCACACACTTTAAATTGGAGAAAATTACTTGCAAAGTCTTCATTGTTCTGTTTTATAATTCCTTGTGAATGCAGAACACCCTTCTTTTATATCTATTCAGTGTGGAATTAAACATTTTTCTTAAAAGTAAGTACAAATTAGTCTTCTTGAAGAATTTCTGGGGAGTGTGATAAGCCTGGAGCTTTGTGATCAGTCCTTTGAAGTTATGTTTGACATTTTGCAAGTCACTTAACCCCTTTGGAGCTTCTGTTTCTCTTTTTTGCAAGAGTACTGACCACCCACTGAACCAGGGGACTTGTAGCACTACAGAAATGTGCCCATGCTTAGGGTGAAAGTGTCATATAAGTTCCAAGGAGGCAGTGTGTTCCTCTCTGGAAATAGCCCAATTAACCCCCAGGGATCCTGGGTCTTGTTTTGTTCTCTTTGTGGCAGTTATGTGGCCTTTGAGAGGCTCCCCCATCTCTCAGATGCTCAGCTGTCCTCACAAGGCGTTTCCTGCATCAGTTACCATGAAATGGCTCTTCAATGCTCTTATTTACCGAGCTTGAGCTTATATTTGTTTCATCCCTCTGCCTTACATCATATGTTGTTTCTCCATTTTCCTTTCTTATTTGAGCTTTTTAATTTTTTAAAGATTTTATATTAGTTATTTATTTTTAACATATTTTTATTGATCCTTTGGGAATGTCACATCATGTACCCTAGTCCCACCCATCTTCCAGTCCCTCCTCATCTCTCCCTCAACCCCACAGCATCCCCTAGAGAAAAAAATTAAAAGTGTTAATTAAAACCA